AACGAAACCGCTTTCAGATGAAGATCTAAGGAAGTTTTTGGAAGAAAATTTGTTCAAAATAAGTGTTATTACAATAAGGTGGGGCTTAGAAAGATCTGGGTATATCTTTTTAAGACTTCCAATGGTGCCAATGATTATACTCAATTTACAGTGCCATTCACTATGCTAAAGTGCCAATGATTGTAACATTGCCTAGAAAAAAGTTTAAATAGATTTTTAACTTAATTAAACATTTCTTTTTAAACGTAATGTGTTATTTTACTTATGGCTATCTAAACTAAAATCCAACAAAACAATAAAGAATATAACAAATTTGTTTATTTACGAGAATTAACCACTTACAAGTAGAAATCCGCTTAAAGTGCCAATCATTATACTGCTAAACCTATATAGAAAAGCTCTGATTTACCACTCGGAGCGTTGGCCGCTCCCCGGGCAGAACACCTTGCCCGGCGGGAGATCTCCCCTTTTCCTTCCACCGGCTACAACAACGACGACAAATCCCTCACTTAAAGCATGAAACCTTGCTTTTTTTCTTCTTTGCCAAATTTAATGTCTTTAGATCAACGCGAAGTACCATAAGTATTAATGAATGAGCTGCGATTATCGAAAACTATGTTTTATTTGATACTAGCTGTGCCCCGCGACTTCACCCGCGTAGAATTTATTACGATTTCATGGATATCAATTTTTTTGCGCGGAACTCTAATTTTGTTTTTGAGTAATGTTACCATCTTATAAATTTTGACAAATATTGACATAAATATTTATACGATACTAACCTTACTCAATTTTTTTGCCTTCCCGAAACCCGTCAACTAACACTTAAACTTTATGGTATGGTATTAAAGTTCAAATTGACTTTTAAGTATTATTACGAATCTTTTGTATGAGAATATAGAAAAGTGTTGTTTTTAGAATTTTTAGGGCAATTTTTTAAATTTTTTCCTTCGTAAAAACCATCTTCGTACTTCAAGGAATATTATAAAAAAGAATTAGCGAGATCGGTTCAGCTGCTCTCGAGATTTGCACTTAGCAACACATTCAGCGATTCATTTTTATATTATAGATAACTACAAATTTACGATTTTTGGACATTTTGTTTTGCTTGTGCTCTGAAATCTTACTCCATACCAACTTTCATGAATCGAATCAACGGGAAATACCCATTTATAATTAGTTATGATTTTCATAAGTCAGTTTACAAGTATCAAAATATGTGACATTAATAAGCGTATATTTTAATTGCGTTGATTTAAGCTTCCTTTGCTTACACTTCCAAAGGACCATAGACATCAATCAACATTTGATATTAATTTTAATTTTATACCTTTACTCATTCCTGACAAAAAGGGTCTTGACAGACGAACAGACAAACAACAAAGTGATAATTTAAGAGTTTCGATATTTTTGAGATACGAAACCCTAAAAAGAACTTATACCATAACACGAATTATAATATTTCTTTTAACTGAGTATGAAAATATAACGATACTTACAGCAGGTGGTACAAAGATAATCTTGAATTTTCTCTTAATTTACACTAACGAAATATGCGCATAATGTCGTATTACGTAAGCACATGTTAAAACTAATGGTTGTATAAATAACCCGGACGGTATATTCTACGTGGAAAGCGAAGATTAAAGTAATTAATAAAAGACCGTGTCACTTTCTATGTATTAAAATGAATTCACGCTGAGAACTTGTGAATGATTATAAAACATCTCAAGTTCTCATTTCACTTTGGTATTCATATTAGATTTGTATAAGATATAAAATACAAATTTGTATAATTCAGACGACAGTCTGATTTTCAAGCGATTTTCAAACAGACCAATACAACAATACAAAATAGGGGAAACACTGTATTTAAATCCAATTTTTCCGCATTTTGAGAAAAAGCCAATTATTCTCTTGTTATGTAGCACACAATATATCTTCCACGTTTTTGAAAGTTTTTAGGTAGCGAAATATAATTAGTAGTGTTAATTAGTAGACAATAAAGCTCGAGCGGAACATTTCTGAGGTAAAGTTGCGGGGTGGTATTTTGTGACTGTAATCCATTGGTTACTGTTTGCATTTTGAACCACCAGACAATTGTCACGGCCATGTTAATTACTATAGCGTTGGCCAATATGAACAAAGTATTAAATAATCAAGGAGAGCAATTTTAACTTGTAATTTTCTCACCGTATATTATTTAATTATGTTTTCCATGAATGAAAAAACCCTGAAATTGTTTAGAGAGGTAAACATAAATAATTATAAACCGTATTAGAAAATTACTAGAAGTATTATTTGTAATGAGTTTTTGAAGCTTTTGGTACTACTTGTAATTATCTATTTCATAAAATATATTCTTATTATTATTGTGTCCATTACTATTTCAATACCTATATTTTTTATTAATAACAGTTTTACTCAGAAAATGTATAATTCTATATCGTTCCACGAATATAATGAATAATACAACAAATAATACAAATTAAAAAACAATATTTTCTTTGTTAATCTATTTTATTACAAAATCATACAAATAGGCTGCTTATCTCAACGGAGGCTAGCCATCTGCGCAGGAAAGAATAATAGTGCCAGAGTGTGTGCGCAAACAAAAGTGCACTCACTTTGTCTCGATATTATAGTCCGCCGGGATGGTTATTCGACACGACCGGATATATATCAGGCGCTGGACCATCGGCTTTACTTGTTTTCTAAGCCACTGGAATGAAATACCGTCAACATCCTGATTTCGGGCTGCTACTAAGAATTTCTTGCCAGAAAAATCCAATAACTGATTTTGGCCTGGCCCGAGATTCAAACCTGGAATCTCATTATCAGCAACCGCGTTTGCGACCACTAGACTAACGAACCAGTCGTGGTATGTTACATAGTGTCCAGAAAGTTCGTTATGCCTTTTATAATTTCATATATAGTATAAAAATATTTTAATAGAATGTCCCGTCTTCAATGTAGTGTTTGGAAAAAGAATTTGATAAGACGAAATGAGCCGAGACGAGACAAGACTTAGAATCTATCTTATTAAGATAAGATGAGACAAGGTGAGATGACATGAGGTGAAATAAGATTAGATGAGGAGAGATGCGATGAGATAAAAAGAATTAGGATGAGATAAGATGAGATAAGAAATGAAAGGCAAAGATAAGATAAAGATAGGAGAACAAAAAGGGACGGGAAATGATGGAACACGGGACGGAACGGAACGGGATGTAGCAAAATAAGACAAGACATGACAAGACAAAACAAGACAAAATAAGACGGGATTAGACAGAATAAGATAGGATATAATATGATAAGATAAGATAAGATAAGATAGGATAAGATAAGATAGAATACAATAAGATGTTCTATATTAAGATAAGAATGTTAAGCGTGTCAGAGCCATGCTGCACCTATATTAATTATATAGTTGTAGCAAGAATAGGCCGGCTCAATCGGGGAATTCGTTCCCCGATCAAGCCGCCCTCACAGAATACCAGAATAAAATAGCAGCTTAATGTTGCTGTGTTCTGAATGGTGAGTGTAGAGAACCAGAGACCCTTTTTACTGGAAAAGAGGCATTCCATCTTAGTCCTCACGGCTTAAAACACATCTGCATTTTGATTCCCAAACGAGGATAGATGTAAAAGTCTATGAACCACAGCAACCAATTACCACCAGGTGGACTGTATGCTCACACAGAAAGACAGACAGACAGACAGACAAAAATTTTCAAAGTTGTGTTTTTGTTATAAGTACCGTATATACTTTCATATGCATTTAGTAAAAAACTGTTATTTTGACATTACAAACATACACTTCAGTTTTATTTATTCGTATAGATGAGCCGTGGTAACTGATAGTAGCCAAGCGCTTGTAATTGATCCCCACCGGCACCAATAAAATTGATAAATGCAGTTTTAAGTGCAGATTTACCAGGTTCTCGGCGGTGAAGGGAAATGCATGTAAAATTTAGAATTTATACAAATTAAGCTCTAGGATATATGGGAGACTGATAACTAGACTAGGCAAAAACTCTGTTTTACAGGTTGGTGACATCCAAGTTGAAGGTCTCCTAAAATGTAGCCTCCTAGTTAATAACCAAAATATTATACTGAAACTCGCGTTATACTTTTAGGAAAAATTGCCAACCATTTTGCTTAATTTTTACTTAGAACTAAGTTCCGTTTTCAACTTACCGATTTATCTGCTATTGTAAAGGATGTAGCAATGGACCTTGACGAAACGTAATAAATTACACTCTCCCTAATGGACGCCTTGATTTGCAGATAGTTTTATATTGCTTCTAACAAAATATTTGATATATTTAGCTTAGACTTTGTTATGTACATAAGACCTGGCAAACACTCACCTGGGTAATTTCTGAGCTGCCCAACGTTTACCGGCCCGATGTGATATATCTTCTGGCCGAATGTGTCCACTATTGTTCTTTTATCCACAGGTCAGGTATGGAAAGCTGCCTTAGTATTCGATGGAGCAGGGAAATGAGATCTTATCTATTGCTGGTAACGGAACGCGCGCGTACAAGGTACCGTCAAAAGCGTTAATGCTTGCGTTGACGAGGAACTTGCCGTTACTAGTGGTCGTTGCGGGTGTAGTTGAAAAAAGGGTTGCTCGCTTCAAAGTTAAAGAGTGCTTGCCAGTAAGAAAAAATATTTATTCGAAATGTTATACGTAAGACGAGATGCTTTCCTTTCAAATTGTACTATTTCTAGTTATAAAATTATACCGAACCATTAATGAAAAGAAAATAAAGACATCAAATACGGAACATGCCGCTCACCTTAAAAGTACGCAGTATCTTTTAACTAAATCTAAACAAATCTGTAATACAAACTAGCCCTTGATAAAAAAAATGTAAGGAGTATAAATAAAGTTAAACCTAGTAAGTATCAAACTATATCTTAAAATTACGGATAAATATTTAAGTTATTTCTAAAGAAAGTAAAATAAGGAATATGAATCATTATTTACGTTTATTATTCTATAGGAAGTGGACAAATTTTATTAACTGGTCGCTTCAAATATGTTTTCCCAATTTGGAGAGTTACAACACGCGTAATCCCATCAGAACCTGGATGCAGATGGTGTACACGCGCAAGTCGCCATTGTAAAGGTGGAAGGTTATCATCGCATACTACCACAATCATGCCTTCACGGACCGGATTTCCACGATTGGTGAACCATTTGCCACGTTGTTGAATTTCATGCAAATACTCTAAGCTCCACTTTTTCCAGAAATGTTGAACCGATTGTTGTATCAAACGCCACCTGAATAATCTACCCGGATTTTCATCCACAAGTGAAACGTCGGGGATAGCTGTTAACGGTTCACCTATCAGAAAGTGAGACGGAGTTAGAGGGAGGGGATCCTGCGCATCGGAGCTCAATATGCATAGCGGACGCGAGTTTAGCACTGCCTCTATTTGACATAGTAGGGTATGCATCTCATCATAGGTTAGGATACGAGGACCTACTACCCGATGAAAATGGTGTTTAAAACTTTTGACGCCCGCTTCAAAGAGGCCACCAAAATGACTTGCATACGGTGGCTGAAAATGCCATGTTATTCCTTCTTCCAGAGTCTTATTCTGGAGCGCGCCTTGTACAGTGTCATTCCGTAGGAAGGCATACAAGTCCTTTAGGTACCTGTCACAGCCGATGAAATTCTTACCGCAATCGGAATAAATATCCTTGCATAAACCTCGGCGAGACGTGAAGCGACGTAGTGCCGCTAAGAAACCCTCTGTTGTAAGTTCCGAAACTATTTCGAGGTGTATGGCCTTAACGCACATACATACAAATACACAGACGTAACATTTTACTATTTTTGCATTTCGCACTTTGTTAGCTCGAACGTAAAAAGGACCAGCGAAATCAACGGCGGTTTTAAGAAAGGGTCGTTCGGGTCGCAAACGTGAGGCAGGCAATGGACCCATGCTGGGCTGCTGGCGCACGGGACATGCTCGAAAACAACGGACACAGCGATGAATACATTGCCGTATGACGTCACGCCCGGATAAGATCCAATATTTTTGTAGAAGTATGTATTGTGTACTTTGCGCACCGGCATGCAAGTGAGATACGTGAGTGTAATTAATAATTAGAATCGATAACGGATGTTTTTTAGGTAAGATTAATTGGTGTTTTGATTCATATGGTAAAAGGGACTTATGTATCCTCCCACCTACGCGAACAAAATTGTTTGAGTCAATAAAGGGATTTAAGCGTCTTAATTGATTTGATGGGAGTTTTCCCTTAGAAAGGTTGTAAATGTCATCACGAAAAACGGATTGTTGTACAAGAAATATGAGTCGATTCAAAGTAAAATTGAACTCGGTTACGGAAATATGTTTAGAAAGAGGGGTTTGAACCTTCTTACATTTTTTATAGAAACGGAATAATAAAGCAGTGACACGTACCAGTTTACCCAGGGATGAATAACGTGATATAATTTCTACGTCGTCGTTGGTGGAAGAAGAAGTGCATGGATTGGAAACAATTGCAATGTTACGTTTTTCTTCTTGTGTCTGAGTAGCTTTGAAAACAGGCCAAGTAGCCTCATCCTTTTTTAAGAAGTGAGGACCGCGGAACCATATGCTGTGATGTAAAAAATTGGCGGGAAGCATTCCGCGTGAAGCCGCGTCTGCCGGATTGTCTGCAGACGGAACATGCCGCCAACGGCAATACGGAATATTACTTATAATTTCTGTTATGCGATTGGAAACAAAGGTTTTCCACTCATGTGGCGAAGAACGCAACCACGCTAGTACTACAGAAGAGTCAGACCATCCGTATATCTGATCGCGAGGTATGCAATTCCCATAAATATTTAAGGTAGCTTTCATTAATCTAGATAATAATAGGGCCGCCATGAGCTCTAGGCGCGGTATGGACATACGTTTAGTAGGCGCCACGCGTGTTTTAGCTAAAAGAAGGTAAGTATCCACTGCACCCATGTCTCCCCGCACGCGAAGATAGACGCATGCGGCATACGCTTTCTCGGATGCATCTGAGAACCCATGAAGTTGTACAGAATGAGTGTGGGTAAATACGTGTCGCGGAAAAGTAACTTTCGATAAGAGTGGAAGCTCGTTAGTAAAACTGGCCCATGAATTTATTATATCTTGGGGTGGGTGTTCGTCCCAATCTACACGTGCTATCCACAACAACTGGATTAAATGCTTAGCAAAAATGGTGACTGGCGATAAAAGGCCAAGTGGGTCATAAATTCTAGCAATTTCTGAAAGAATCGAACGCTTAGTACATTTGTTAGAGGTAATTTGAACACTGAAAGTAAATGAATCTGAATTTGAGTTCCACTGAAGACCAAGTACTTTAGTTTTCATGTCATTTTCCATCTCCGCAAAAGGTACGTAATGGTGCCGCTCACCATGAGAACTTGTGGGCTGAACCGCAGCGAGTAACGCAGGCGAGTTACTGTGCCACTTGTGAAGAGTAAAGCCGGCAGCCTGACATATGCTTATTAACTCCTGTTGTAGAGCAAGAGCTTCTGCCTCCGTATTGTCGCCTGACACTATATCATCTACGAATATGTCACCTATTATGACTTGAGAAGCACGTGGGAAACGAGTGGCTTCATCAAGCGCAAGTTGTCGCATTGTACGAAGTGCGAGGTAAGGTGAGGAACTAACTCCGAAAGTTACAGTACGAAGGCGATAGTCACGTATAGGTTCGTCAGGAGAAGTGCGCCATACGATACGCTGAAAATCCCTATCTGTGTCACGGACTAAAATGTTGCGGTACATCTGTTTAATGTCAGCTGTGAAGGCAATAGAATGAATTCGAAACTTCAGTAGAACGTCGACTATATCCAGATGGAGTTTGGGTCCTGTAAACAAAACATCATTCAGGGAGTTCCCATGGGTAGTCTTACAACCTGCATCGTAGACCACTCGCATTTTTGTTGTTTCGCTAGATTCCTTCACCACGCAGTGGTGCGGAATATAATAGACGCCACCAGATTGAGGTGAAAGGCCATCACAAGGTTCCATGTGATCAAGGTCCAAGTACTCCTGGAGGCATGCATGATAACTATATTTCAGTGGCGGATTGCGTTCAAGCTTGTATTCTAATCTGCGAAATCGAGCGATAGCAATGTCACGTGACTCACCAAGGGGCAAGGCGTCAGGCTTGAAAGGCAGAGCGACTACATATCGTCCTGTATCATTACGCGTATGCGTGTTTTCGAAAATTGTCTCACACAAAACTTCGTCGGGAGTGAGAGACCTTTGTTCTGTAATTGATTCTATTTCCCAAAAGCGTTGAAGATCAAACTCATCGTTAACCGAGCTGTAAAACACTTGAACTGGGAATGAAACGGGTGAATGAATATTAAAATCTAACTTGCCTAGCAGTAAATATCCAAAAATACTATTTATTGCTATGGGTGTACCAGGAGGCCCAGTCACCGTATTGTTTAATAGAATTTGGGGAAGTATGTCCGCTCCAAGTAACATTTCTACGGGTTGTGGTGTGAAGAAATCGGGATCAGCCAATGTCAAATTTTTAATGTGGGACCATTCCTTATAAGGTAATTGACAAGAGGGCATTTGTGTAGTAATAAGCTTCGGTAAGATTAAGGCTTCGATTTGTACCGAAGGTTGTGTTTTATTTTTTGGTGTAATATAGCACGAAACTAAACCCTTTGGATAAACCGGTTTGTTTTCATTGATTCCGTAAACAGGAGGAATATTGACATGTTTTCTCGCTAAGCCCAAACGTTGTACGCACGCCTCACTAATAAAGGAAACCTGGCTTCCCGAATCTATGAGACAACGCACGGTCGATCGCTTATGATTATTTACGTAAACATCGATGAGCGCTGTTGACAGTAACACTGTACTCGTTCGCACTGACGGAGCAGAACTAGATTGCGCGCTAGCGTCGCGAGTCGTGTGATGTATCGACGTCATAACCAGCTGAGAATCGCTCGAAGTGGCGGGATCGTACGCTGTAGGAGGGAGTGAAGCGGAGCTGTCATGCGGATCAGCTGTCTCGGTAGCAGCTACATAAGATTGATTATCGAAATGAATTAGCGTATGATGATGTTTGTTGCACGTCCGACACATAAAATTTGATCTGCATTGCTTAACATCGTGTCCAACGTGTAAACAATTAAAGCAAACGTTTTTACCACTAATAAATGTATAGCGCTCCTTGGGTGATAGGTTTAAAAACGTCGGACATTTAGTTAGTGTATGTTGGGCGTCGCAGCATATACAATGGAAATATTTAACACTCGGAAATTTGTTTGGAATATTATATGCAGACTCTGAAACAGGCTGTGATGTGTTGTTTCCTATAAATATACGGCGTGCGCCCTGAGATGCCGTCGTGCGGCTACCGCCGCTGCTTGATGGTGCGTTTGATTTTGATTGACCCTCGTGTTTAGTAATTTGACCGAAATTAGGGTGAGAAATTTCGCTTGCGGACAACTCCCGCTCCAAAAAGGATATTAGTGTGTTGATATCAGGAATTTCTGATGGTGATTTTAATGATAACTCAAAACGTTTGCGGATAGATGAAGGAATTTTTCGCAGTAAAATCGTTAATAAGATAAAACTCCATTCGTTTGTAGGAAATTTCATGACTTCAAGTGCTTTAATGTTTTCTTGGTAAATGTTTAGTAAATTACGTAAGCTGATTGTTGATTTTTCTGAACAAGGTTCAACATCGAGAATTCTGTCGAGATGAGTGGAAGCTATAATTCTTTTGTTCTCATAACGCGAAATTAATACCTGTAAGGCTACAGAATAGTTCGCGTCGGTAATGGGAATTGATTTAATTAAATTATAAGGTTCATTTTTTAAGGTAAGGAGTAAATATCTGAATTTCTCCGCATCCGTGTAGGCATTATTGTTATGTACGAGTGAAATATATAAGTCATAAAATGAATTCCAGTCAGTACTATTACCCGAGAAGCTGGGCAAGGGAATTTTAGGCAATTTTGGATTGTGGGATTGTGCAAACGATTCGGAGTTAAAAGACCTACTCATACGCCTGACTTGTTCGTCATCTTGTTTTAATTTGCTCAGATGCGTGACAATAGCGTAGTATGCGTCATCAAAATCGTTACGAATTTTAATTTGTTCATCTTTGTTGAACATTTTTGTCTTTATTAGACATTTTTCTATTTTAGTTTGTAATTTACTAAACTTTCTTTGTTGTGCCGTAAGATCTTTAGTTCGCGAACGGAACTTTTGTTCATCGGTCGTTGCGAACTGTAATGTTCTTTTTAAATCATCTAAAATAATATCGCGTTCGAACATGTCCTGCTCGCATGAAACATCACACATAAATTCTTCAACTCGTGCTGGATCCGGCATTTTGCGTTGCAAAGATGGCCTATACGACACGTCGGTGAAAGTACGTATGTACGTTAAATTTTAAAATTTAAAGTGTGTGTGAAACTAAAGATAACACTCTTACTAAGACAGCACGATTTGAAAGGAAAGATTTGGCTCGCAAGGTCCAAAAACAATTATGTTATGTACATAAGACCTGGCAAACACTCACCTGGGTAATTTCTGAGCTGCCCAACGTTTACCGGCCCGATGTGATATATCTTCTGGCCGAATGTGTCCACTATTGTTCTTTTATCCACAGGTCAGGTATGGAAAGCTGCCTTAGTATTCGATGGAGCAGGGAAATGAGATCTTATCTATTGCTGGTAACGGAACGCGCGCGTACAAGGTACCGTCAAAAGCGTTAATGCTTGCGTTGACGAGGAACTTGCCGTTACTAGTGGTCGTTGCGGGTGTAGTTGAAAAAAGGGTTGCTCGCTTCAAAGTTAAAGAGTGCTTGCCAGTAAGAAAAAATATTTATTCGAAATGTTATACGTAAGACGAGATGCTTTCCTTTCAAATTGTACTATTTCTAGTTATAAAATTATACCGAACCATTAATGAAAAGAAAATAAAGACATCAAATACGGAACAGACTTAATAGAATTGACTTCGGTGAAGATGATTTTAAATTTTTGTTTTTTTAGCAGTATTACACTTGAAATTTATTAATATTAATATTTTTTTATATACAATATTAAAAAAACTATAATAAAAAAATTAAAAGTGATAACTTAATAATCACAGAGTCCTACTCCCCGTGGTATCGTGCCAAGAACGCTGGCTGCGTTTCCTTGCTGAATAGCTATACTTAGCATGTGAGCAAGAAAAGAACCAGCCCTCTTATAAACTTTTGTTAGAATATATTAAGTATGCAACTTTTTTAACTTTTTTAAGTTTACATCTCGTCACGAAACTTGTATCTATGTCCAGTAATAAACAGTTTCTGCATTTTTAAAAGCATACTCACATAGTTGGGATTGCGACTTCGTACAGAGCCGATAACTTAATATTGGTGAGTGCTTAAAATCCCTCTTTCACACTTCTTCTATTTTACGAGCTCGTAATGCGTCCTACGAGGATTACTGTTTACAGTATTTGTCGTATTCACATTTCTAATCAGGCGGATTAAAATATCAGACGTTTAAATTTTCAATGCTCTTTATCTTACTATTTTGTTTGAATTTATTATATATTATTAATATTGTTACAATGCAAAGCATAAATTAATTTAAACTTAATATAATTAATTTTAAAACAATTTGAACCAACGCGAAAAAGTTTTTTTATTGAGAAATATTACTAAGGCATTCCATAAATTCACAATTAACGTATGCATGTTGCACAAAATAATGTGTATGTAATAACGTAATGAATGATATTTACATATCAGACGTTTAAATTTTCAATGCTCTTTATCTTACTATTTTGTTTGAATTTATTATATATTATTAGTATTGTTACAATGCAAAGCATAAATTAATTTAAACTTAATAGAATTAATTTTAAAACAATTTGAACCAACGCGAAAAAGTTTTTTATTTAGAAATATTACTAAGGCATTCCATAAATTCACAATTAACGTATACATGTTGCACAAAATAATGTGTATGTAATAGCGTAATGAACGATATTTGTAACATTCCCAGTATCTATAATGCATACATTTTATCAAGAAATTTTTAAATTCTTTATGTATTTACTTATAATATAAAATAAGTTTTTGTAATTTGATTTTTCGGGTTATAAGAAAAACTCCAAGAAATATGAATATCAGTTCGTCAGATTTCTAAAAAGGGCAGATTTTATTATAAAATACTTTTCTGCTTTTTAATTTGCGTGGGTTCTAAATCTCTTATCTTTTTATGTTGTAATACAGCAATCAATAATTAAATAATACTATATGAAGGCTTTAGAAGTCGATCCTAAGACATGGTGTATAGAAATATTAATGCACCGACTTAACAAGCTACTTGTGAAAAATATTTTATTCTTTTAGGATCTTTAAAGTTCTTTAATTTTTATTATAAACTAGCTGTTCCCCGCGACTTCTCCCGCCTGTTATTTAGGGTTTTAATTTTTTTTGCGAGAAACACTAATTATTTTTCTAAAATAAAAGTAGCCTAAGTTACTCCTTATGACATCAGCTATCTGCTAGTGAAAGTCCCATCAAAATCGGTCCAGCTGTTTCGGAGATTAGCCGGAACAAACAGACAGACGGACAGACAGACATCAGAAATTTTTTTTAAAAATTGTGTTTTTGTTATAAGTACCGTATATAGTTTCACATGCATTTACTAAAAAGCTGTTATTTTGACATTACAAACAGACACTTCAATTTTATTTATTTGTATAAAAGTAATTTTTGACCCTTTTAATGGAATTAGGAATATTACAATCAAGGTAACAACTAAAATGTCGTCTAAATGGTTAAATAGAAAACTTCATTTTACCACCTGGGATTTTTTTCCAAAATATGGAATGACCCCTTAAGCGTAATTTATTAAATAAAAATTGAAATCGGTTTAAATTGGGTGACAATATCCCGTCATACA